TCACCATTATCATCGCTATTCGCCATCACTATCACTATTATCATCATCATCAGCATGATCATCATCATCATCATCATCAGCAGCATCATCACCACCATAATCATCATCATCGTCGTCAGCATCGTCAGCATCACCATCAGCATTACCATCACCACCACCATCACCATCATCCCCGTCACCAACATCATGCCTGCTACCGGCATTATCACCATCATCATTATCATCATCATCATCATCATCACCCTCACCATCACCATCACCAGCAATATTATTATCTAGTATCGGGTGCCATCAGCATCTTCCTTATCACATCGCCATTGCCATAAATCCTTAGCATCGCCATCACCATACCATTATACTGTCGGCACACCTCGCACTTGTTCCGTACTCCACCCAAGGCCCCAGCGGCGACGTCCATGTGGGTGTCAAGCCCGTTTTCGGCACACCCCTCACACGTTGAAGGCCCCAGTGGTTGCGTCCCTGTGCGTCCACGCCTCTCATCTTGACACACCACTCACGAGTCTCGTGGCTCCATGGTGAGCTCAAAAACAAAATCATGGTCAGCTCCAACGAAGGTTTCAGAGGCTGCGTCTCGACGCGCCCCCGCCCTCCATTATGGTATAGCGTCGCACGTTTCATGGCGGAAACTTCACCGAAGGCCCAACTGGCTGCGTGCGTGTGTATTCATGCCAGCACACACCTCACACGCTTCGTGGCACCACAGGCAGCTCCAACGAAAGCTCCACCGGCTGCGATCCAGTTCGGCGCACCACTCACACACTTCGTGCACCGAAGGCTTCAATGACTGCGTCTCGGCACGTCCCCGTCGCTCAACTCGGTACAGCCTCATACATTCGTTGCCAAAGGGAACTTCACCGAAGGCCTCAGTGACTGCGCCCCTTTTGATGCCGGCACGCCCCTGCCTCTAATTTCGGTGCACCCCTCACACGTTTCTTGGCCCCATGGGGAGCTCCAACGAAGGCCCCAGTGGCTGCGTCCCGAGGCGTCTCCGCCTGTCCTGTCAGCGCACCCTTCACACGCTTCGTGGTACCATAGGGGGCTCCACCCAAAGCCATAGTCGCTGCGTCCCTAAGCGTTTCCGCCATTCACATCAGCACACCCTTCACGCGCTTCGTGGCACCATATGGGGGCTTCACCGAAGGCCCCCGTGGCTGAGGCCCTTAGCGTCGCCGCGTTTCATGTTGGCAGATCCTTCACACGTTTCGTGGCACTATAGGGGGAGTTTCATCAAAGGCCCCAGTGGCTGCGTCCCTATGCGCCACCGCCTTTCACTTCGGCAAGCCCCTCACACGTTTCGTGGCCCCACAGGGAGCTATGGCCCCAATGGCTGCGCCCCTATGCGCCCCGGACTCTCATGGCGGGATGTCCCTCATTAATTTCGTGGCCTCATAAGGGGCTCCACCGAACGCGCCAGTGGCTGCGTCCCTGTGCGCCTCCGCCTTTCACTTCGGCACGCCCTTCGCACGTGTCGTGTCCCCTTGGAGATCTCCACCGAAGGCCATAATGGCTGTGTCTCCGCCTTTCATTCCGGCGCTCCCCTTACACATTCCGTGGCCTTACAGGGAGTTCCACCGAAGGCCCGAGTGGTTGCGTCCTGATGCGCCACCGCCTTTCACTTCTGCACGCCCCTCAAACGTTTCGCAGCCCCACTGGGTGCTCCACCCAAGGCCCCAGTGGCTGCGTCCGCATGCGTCCCCGCGTATCATGTCGGCACGCATCTCACACGTTTCGTGGCCACATAAGGAGTTCCACTGAAGGCCCCTGTCTTTCATTGCGGCATCTTCCTCACATGTCTCGTGGCCCCCTAGGTAGCTCCCCCTCTTGCGTCCTACCTGTCTTGCGGTACAGCACTTGCGTATTCTTGAGTCCCTCGCCAGGATGTGTGTTTTTTTCCAGCTCGTGCGCGGCCCCACGGTTTCTGGTCTCCCTGCGGCTGTTTCCAAAAGCTATACCTGTAGTGGGCTGGCCCGCAACAGGATGTATGCGATTGGGGCGTGCCAGCATGTATGTCACCACCCACCAAATCACCCCAACCCAACCCGAAGGCTTCAATATGTCCTCCATTTCCAGTTGGGGGTGGTCGGGGAACGTTTGAAAATTAGCCTGGCGAAGGACCCAACCATACGCAGTTGTGAGTACCGCAGTTGTGGGTATCGTCTTCGGTGGAGCTCCCTATGGGCCACGAAACGCTGCACTGGGTGGAGGAGACGCATGCGAACTTTGTCAGGGGCCTTCGGTGGAGCAGCGTAAGGGGCCACGAAACGCTGTACTCGGTGGAGAAACGCATGCGAACTTTGCCGTTGGGGCCTTGGGTGGAACCCCCTATGGGCCATGAAACGCTGTGCTGGGTGGGGGAGACGCATGCGAATTGTGCCAGTGGGGCATTCGGTGGAGCCCCCGATGGGCCACGAAACGCTGCACTGGGTGGGGGAAACGCATGTGGACTTTGCCACTGGGGCCTTCTGTGGAGCTCCCTATAGGGCCATGAAGTGCTGTACTGGGTGGGGGGGGCGCAATGTGGACGGTGCCATTGAGGCCTTCGGTGGGGCTCCCAATGGGGCCGGTGGGGAGACGCATGCGGACGGTTCCATCGGGGCCTTCGGTGGAGCTCCGTAAGGGGCCCCGAAACGTTGTACTGGGTGGGGGAGACGCGTGCGGACGGTGCCATTGGGGCCTTCGGTGGAGCTCCGTATGGAGCCACGAAACGTGGCACTGGGTGGGGGAAACGCATGCGGGCGGCTCCATTGGGGCATTCGGCGGAGCTCCCTATGGGGCCACGAAGCGCTGTATTGGGTGGGGGGGTCGCATGCGGACGGTGCCACTGGGGCCTTTGGTGAGCTGCGTCAGATGCCCCGAAACGTTGTACTGGGTGGGGGAGGCGCATGCGGAAAGGGGCAATGGGGCCTTCGGTGGAGGTCCCAAGAAGGCCACGATGGGAATAGCATGCGGACGGTGCCACTGGGGCCGTCGGTGGAGCTCCCTATGGAGCCACGAAGCGCTGCACTGGGTGGGGGGGCGCATGCGGGCGGGACCTTCGGTGGGTGCCACGAATCGCTGTGCTGGGTGTGCGGGGCGCATGCGGACGGTCCTACTGGGACTTTCGGTGGGGCTCCCTATGGGGCCACGAAGCGCTGCACTGGGTGGGGGGAACGCATGCGGACACCGCCGCTGGGGCCGTCGGTGGGCTGTACTGGGTGGGGGGGGCGCATGCGGGCGGTAGCGCTGGGGCCTTCGGCGGAGCTCCCTATTGGGCCACGGAACGCTGTACTGGGTGATGCGTGAAGCATGCGGGCGGTGCCACTGGGGCCGTCAGTGGAGCTCACTATGGGGCCACGAAGCGCTGTAGTGGGTGGTGCGTGAAGCATGCGGGCGGTGCCACTGGGGCCGTCGGTGGAGCTCTCTATGGGGCCACGGAGCGCTGTATTGGGTGGTGCGTGAAGCATGCGGGCGGTCCCATTGGGGCCTCGGGTGGAGCTCCCTACGGGGTCACGAATCGGTGTGCTGGGTGGTGCGTGGCGCATGCAGGCGGTGCCACTGTGGCTTTCGGTTGGGCTCCCTATGGGGCAACGAAACGCTGTACTGGGTGGTGCGTGACGCATGCGGGCTGTCCCACTGGGACCTTCGGTGGAGCTCCCTATAGGGCCACGAAACGCTGTACTGGGTGGTGCGTGACGCATGCGAGCGGTGGCACTGGGGCCGTCGGTGGAACTCCATATGGGGCCACGAAGCGCTGTACTGGGTGGTACGTGACGCATTCGGGCGGTGGCATTGGGGCCGTCGGTGGAGCTCCCTATGGGGCCACGAAGCGCTGTATTGGGTGGTGCGTGACGCATGCGGGCGGTGGCACTGCGACCGTCGGTGGAGGTCCCTACGGGGTCACAAAACGTGTGTTGGGTGTGAAGAAACGGGTGATGATGATGATGATCGTGATGATGATTGGAGGAGGGAGGAGGGAGGAGGAAGGAAGGAAGGAGGAGGAGACGCAGGGCACCGTCTCTTCAAAACGAGGACCCAACACCACAGGATGGCTGGGACAAACAATGGAACCCGAACCCCCCCAACCCGAAATTCGGGTCAGATTCGGGTCTTCGGGTTGGTTGGGGTGGTCTGGTGCAAGCCGATGGTCCCGAGCCAATTTCCTTGTAAGAGTAACCTGGTGGCATGCCCAGGCCGCGTGACACAACATTGTGTGTTCGGCCAGCGCAAGGCGAATGCTGTCAGTGACCGTCTGAACCACCACGTGGTCGGTGGCTGCACACTTAAACAGTATAGTGGCCTTGAATGGGCTGAGCGGTCTCCACCGCGGCATCGATGTCACGGCTTGTGGGCTTCACTCAGAACGAACGGGAGGCAAAGGAGGGTCTCGGGCTTGAGCGGCCGAGTATATGGTAGATTTAACATCGTGAAGCGAGGAGGGGAGCGGGCAGGCGGCCGCACCGCGATCGTCGCGGCCGTACTGCTCAAGCTCCGAGGCCCCAGGGGCTTCCCAGCGGAGGCGGCCGGGCCGTGGATGGACCCCGCGAGCCTCGTCCTCCGCGAGGCGACGCGGGGATTCGCCGCCGGCGCGGCGGCCTGGGGTGCCGCTTGGGGATCGCAGTGCCCGGCGTGCCCATCGCCGCCTCCGTGCCCTTTTTGTTCTTGTACCTGCGAGCCGCGGCTGGCGTGCCCAGGCGGCTCGGTGTCGGAGGTCCAGCGGCCCGTGCCGCTGGGAGTCAGCCTGGCGTGGCTGGCCTGCCTGGCCGCGGTGGGCGCCGCGGGCTGGGCCCTTGGCAGGCGGGGCGCACCCGCGACACCAAGGGCCACTGCGCCGGCGGGCGCTCCCGGGCGGCCGCTCGCGGCGGCCTTGGAGGCTCCCCTCTCAGCGACGCAGCTGGCGGCGGCTCAAGTGGCGGCTCTGCGGGCCTCGAAGCCACAGCTGACACGCTAGCATGGCGACGGCGGCCGCAGCACGGCATCCGATAGCGGCCCTGGGACTGCAGGAAAGGGATTTCATCCTGGTGGAGTACGCGGGGTACGCCAACGTGTGGCTCGAGCGACTGATGGTGCTCGCGCCTGACGGCTCGGGCCTGACGTGCACCCTCACACCAGATGACGACAGCTACGAGGAGGACCTCTTCGCCGCCGCCGAGGTGCGCCGCTGGCTGCCGTGCGAGGGCGAACGCATGGGCGCATACCCGCCAGCTGCTGCTGGGATGCACGTGCACGGCTTCAGGGGCGTCCCAGCGCCTGCGCGGGTCGCACAGGCGCTGGCTGCTTGGGCTGCGAGGATGGGGATCGCCCTGGGCGTTGAGGACGCGGTGGTGCCCAACCTGCGCTGCGCTGCTGTCGGAGCTCGCCCTCGGCCTGGTGCCGCGGGTGTCGCGCCCGCCGGTGGCGCGGCGGCTGCGGCGCACGCTGCCGGCGGTGCGGGGCCGCCCGCTGGGATGCTGGTTGCTGCCCCCTTCGCAGCACCCGCGGCAGGGATTGGCGGGCCTGCCGTGGCGGCTGGAGTGGCTGGCTCGGCGGCTGCGCTCGCCGGCGGCCCAGCGGCGCCCGTGGCAGGCGCCCCAGCGCTGGCGGGCCCCGCGCCGCCGCTGGTGGTAGAGCCCGCAGCTGCCGGGCCAGCTGCCGCAGCTGCAGGCCTTGGAGCCGCCGCGGCCGCGGCCGCGCCAGCTGATACGCGCGTCCAGCCCGTCACGTACGACTTGCAGGGGCAGCGGCACGCGGACTTCCGCCGCGCGGTCATGAACATGACTGAGGGGGCCGTTCCCGACTGGCCGGTCAGAGGTTCGCGGACGGCGCTGTGGGTCCTTAAGTTCATGGAGGCTCACGGCGGCACGCCTACGGGCCGCCACTCGCGCTGGCTCTCGGAGTCACGCTTGCAGGGGCCCGATCCTGGCGTCGACGAGCATGGGCAGGCGTGCAGGGCCCTCGAGCGCATGGTGATCTACGACCAGCTGGAGGTGGCCAATGTCGCCTCGGGCGAGATGCTGGCCAGAGCCGTGCAGCCCCAGGAGGAGCGCTACAGGGACCGCGTCGCCCCGGCAGCAGACTCGGGCAGCCTCGACGCGCACGTGCTGCTCGGCACGGACCAGCTGCGCGGGATCGCGCGCGTCGCGCCGGCGCTGCAGGACCACGTCAAGGACGAGCTCACGAAGATGAATGCTTACAGGAAGGAGCAACGCAAAGCCAGAGAGGAGCGCGACTTGGCCCGCAAGAATAAGAAGGGGGCCAAGGGCGACAAGTGCTCTGGCAGGGGCGACAAGTAGCCTCGGAGAGGGGGGCGGAGTTGGGCGCCCGCTCCCGCCAGCCAGCCCATTGCGCCCTGACGCACCAGCTGACGGGCCACCTCTGCCCTCGCGCCGTGCGGACCTCGGAGGGCGCCAGCGGGACACCTTCCCCTTGCCGTCCTTGGCCCGCCCTCGCGGGGGCTCCAGTTTTGGGCGCAGCCGCCGCGGTCACCGTCAGCTTGCTGATGATGCTCCTTGGCAAGACTGGGCCAACGACGCCATCGACGTCATGAATGCTGTGTGTGCTCCTGGGGCCCAGCCGTCTGCCCTCGGTATCTCTGAAGGCCAGCGGGCGTCTCTCGAGCACATCCAGTCCACCTTCGCCTGCCTCGAGCCGCTGGCCGAGGGCGAGGGTTTTCCCGAAGGAGCTCTTTCGGATATCCTCTCTGGCTCCCCGCTGTGCGCCACGGGGGGGCCTCGCCGACCCTACTCGCGGGGCCTGATCTCGTGGCCCGACGTTGGCGACGACCCCGTGCCGCTCACGAAGGTCGTGGCTGGCCCGGACGCTCAATGGCTTAGGGCATGGAGCTCGAGCATGCTGCGTGGTCGCGAGGAGGCTGACGCCCTTCTGCAGCAGGTTTGCCCTCGCGGGCCGTATGTCGACCCCCACCTTGCCTTCTCTCCGGCGACGTTCGCCGACTTCCTTGCTGAGATGTTGAAGCGGAAGATGATTTGCTTCCAGGCGGAGGACCCACGTATCAAGCCGATTGGAGTCTTCTGCGCGGCAAAGGAGAGCAACCGTCTGAGGCTCATTTTTGATACTCGTACTGCGAATGCGTACTTCACAGACCCCCCAGCCACCACGTTGCCGAGCGCTGCCGCCTTCTCGAAACTGGAGGCGCCTGGAGGCAAGGTGGTCGTCGCGGCTGGAGACATCGACGACGCCTTCTACCGGCTGCTGATGCCCGAGGGCTTGTGCCGCTACTTCAGGCTTCCGCCGATCGACAGGCGGCACCTGGAGGCGCGCGGCATCGCAGGACTCCCCGATGCCACCAGGGTGCAGGCTTGCTTGGTCGTGCTGCCGATGGGCTTCTCCTGGGCGCTGCACCTCTGCCAGCTGGCTCTGCGGACCGCGGTCTCGCGGGCTGGCGTGCCGGGCCACCTCATCATCGAGGACGGCCTCCCCGGCGTCGTCGTGGAGCCGCAGGGCCAGGCCGCCGTCGCAGGATACGTGGACAATTACCTGGCCGTCAGCGGTGACGAGTCGGAGGCCGATCGCGCTCTTGATCGCATCACCGCGGAGGAAGAGGGCGCTGGCGTGAGAGTCCACGAGCCTGAGCGGGCTTCGGGCACTTGCAGTTTCTTGGGGATGGAGCTGAGGCAGGGCCGCTGGCTTGCCATCAAGGGGCGCTCTGTCTGGAGGCTGAAGCTCGCCATTGAGGAGCTGCTCAGGCGCGGTCGCGCTTCAGGGCACCTCGTGCGCGTGCTGGTGGGCCACCTGACCTGGGCCTCGATGGTGAGGCGCGAGGCGCTGGGGCTCCTCAGCGCGACCTACGCCTTCATGATAGCGTCCGGCGCGGAGGTGCAGACGCTCTGGCCTTCCGTGCGGACTGAGCTGTGGCGCGCTCGCTGCCTGCTGCCGCTCCTCGTGGCGGACCTCGCCGCGCCCTGGGCGACGCGGCTAGTCGCCAGTGACGCCAGCGAGGAGGGGCTGGGCGTTTGCCGTCGGCAGGCCTCAGGCGACCTCATCGCCCGCTGCGGGCGCCTCTGCGAGCGGTGGCGGTACCGAGTGGAGGGTGGGGCGCGTGCCAGAGATAGAGCTCTTCTCTCCTCTGCTTCGACCCGCTCACCCCATGCATCGTCATTTGCTGCTGGCCCTTGCGAGCCTGCGGGAAGGGAGGTCGTGCTTGATCACAGTCAGTTGGATTTCGACTCGGCTTCGCCTGGCACGCTGGACCCCGACAAGCTCCCCGAGGACCCCGACATGGAGCTCCACAGCGAGGGCCCCTTGATCTTGGATCTCGGTAGTAAGCTCAAGGAGTTCGACGAGGTGCCCGCAGGTCTCTTGGATGCTAAGTCTTGGAGGGGCGTAGTCGCTACGAAGGTCCAGGCGGGCCAGAACATCTTGGGGTTGGAGGCCGACGCCCTGGTAGTTGCCTACAAGCACCTCTTGAGGTCCTCAGCCTGCCGAGGCAAACGGGTTCTGGCGCTGGTCGATAATATGCCGTTGTGTCTGGCCGTGGCGAAGGGGAGAACGGCCTCAGCATACCTACAACTTCCATTGCTCAAAATTTGTATGATGTCACTTGCTACGGGAACGAGATTGCACTGCAGGTGGATTCCGTCAGAACGCAACCCTGCCGACGCTCTTTCTCGAGGGCGTCGCACCTGGTTTTCGGACTCCGACGCCCGCGCTTGGCAGCCTCCCGCGCATGGCGGCGCGGCGGCGCCCAGCGGCTGCGCGGCCGCTGGTCCTGCGCCGGCCCGCGCGGAGGCCCCCGCCAGCTGCTTTGGAGGCCCGCGGCCGCCGCGCCGCCCTGGCGGGTCGCCTGATGGCCGAGCGGCCGCCGATGGGACAGCTCAGCGCCCTGGAGCCGCCTGGACTGGAGGGACTTCGACCAACTCGACCCGGTGGCCACCCGCTTCCTGAACTACCAGTTCGAGTGCGGGGCCCCCGCGAGCCAGGGGTCCCTGTTGCTGGCGTCCCTGGCGCACTTCTTGCCAGGCCTCCAGGGCTCGTGGAAGGCCCATCTGCCGCGCGCCACAAGGAGCTCGATAGCCTGGGCGCGTCGCGTGCCCTCGATGACTCGGGTGCCTCTTCCATACTTCGCGGCGGCAGCGCTGGCTGGGCTAAGGCCGTTCGAGGCGCAGGGGCTGCGAGGGGGCTCTCTTGTGCGCCCAGCGGCGCAGGCAGCGGCCTCGGCGGCTTGCTGGGCGCTGCTCCTGCACCCCACCAGCGGCGGCCGCCCAGGCAAGACCGGGCTGTACAACGAGAGTGTAGTGATAGATCTCGACCGGCAATTGTGGCCGCTGCTTGCCGGCCTCAAGGCCGCCGTGGGCCTCGGCCAGAGCCTTTGGGATTTCACGCTGCCTGCACTGCGCGGCCGCTTCAGGGAGTTCGCGGACTTGCTGCAGCTCCAGGCCCTCAACCCGACCCTCTACGCGCTGCGACACGGCGGGGCAAGCTGGGATCTGCTGGAGGGCCGGAGGACGCTGGAGCAAACCCAGAGGCACGGCCGGTGGGCCTCGCCGGGCAGCATGAAGCGTTATGCCAAGGAGGCCTACTTGCAGGATGCCATGACCAAAGTTCCCGACTGGGTCTTCGTGTTAGGCCGCTTCGTGCACGCCAACCTGCTAGAGATTGTCGAGCTGGGGCCCGCCCTCACGCAGCGGCCGCGCCTGTGGCAGCAGCTGCCCGCGCCCGCGCAGGCGCTGATCGGAGCCTCGCTGCCATAGCTTCGCCGGCGCAGGTCCAGCGTCACTTGAAGCGGCTGCTCGCTCGAGAACTGAAAGCCACTCGCAAGCGTAGGCACGGAGTGTTCTTGGAACTTTTTGGTGGGACAGGGATGGTCGCGAAGGCCTTCAGGGCCGAGGGTTTTGGAGCCCTCAGCCTGGACCTCCTGCATGGCCCCTTTGAAGATCATTTAGATAAAACGTTTGAAAGGCTCGTCTCGGGCTGGACCAAGTGCGGTCTCATCTTGGGGATTTTTCTGGGTACCCCGTGTACAACATGGACACGGGCCCTTCGCAAGCCCCTCCGTGATGTAGCCGCGCCCATGGGATTGCCCGATCTCAACGAGAGCGAATCCGCTAGAGTTCGAGTAGGGAATGCGACCCTCAGCTTTTCGTGCCGCATCATCTCGTTGGCCAATGATCTCGGAGTGCCTGTTCTGCTGGAGAATCCCCAGACCTCCCTGATTTGGGCGGCGCCCAGACTAGCCCGTCTTGGAGCTCAGCCCGAGTCTGACTTTGTTGTGTGCCACCTCTGTCAGTACGGGGCCCGATGGCGGAAAGCCCCCAGGCTTCAGGGGTGGAACGTTTCTAGCCTTGAACCCCTCACTCGTAGGTGCAATGGAAAGAATGGGATCTGCTCTCGCACTGGGGAGCACCGCATCGAATTGTCTGGGACGGCGCCAGGCGGTCGAAAATGGACCAGCCTGGCTGCAGCGTACCCCCCGCCTTTCGCTCGTGCTGCCGCCGCCGTCCTCGCCCATTCCTCTGAGCAAATGCATGGATTACGCCTCGGAGAGATTCTGTGCCCATAGGTTTTCAGTTTCTTCTTTCAGTGGAAGCCCCGTGGGGCTCCGGCCTGGCGGCCAGTCTGCCCGTTTGGGAATCGGGATCTGTGCTGGCTGATGTCTCAGCGGGGCGCGACGCCGTGCCCCGAACTCGTGGCCTGTGGAAGCCTCTCGAGCGCGCACACAGGAAAGATGTATCAATACAGCTGACGCTGCTTGGCCGCCTAGAAGCGCCCGTACTTGCTGGTAGATTTAACATCGTGAAGCGAGGAGGGGAGCGGGCAGGCGGCCGCACCGCGTTCTTCGCGGCCGTACTGCTCAAGCTCCGACCCTCCCATCCCGACCCTTTACTCTCGGTCCACTTTTGTACATTACCTGTTGTGGGATCTGTGCTGGCTGATGTCTCAGCGGGGCGCGACGCCGTGCCCCGAACTCGCGGCCTGTGGAAGCCTCTCGAGCGCGCACACTGGAAAGATGTATCAATACAGCTGACGCTGCTTGGCCGCCTACAAGCGTCCGTACTTGCTATATATATATATAGATAGAGAGATATGTATGTATATATATATGTGTGTGTATATAGAAATGTATTTGTGTATATATATATATATATGTATATTTATTTATATATATATATATATATATATATATATATATATTCCTCTTCCTAAATTTCTATAAGCCCAGGCGGGGGGGACCCCCCTCCCCAAAACCGGACTCCCGGGATCTGGGGCCTTGGGACCCTCCGGACGGGCCTCGAAGCGGCCCCCTGGGCCTCGCAGGGCGTTTCGCCAAGCTTTCCCAGCACCCGAAGACGGTCCCAGACGGGTTCCAGGCGTTCCGGCGCGCTCCCGAAACGACCCCAGAAAGCTTCAATAAGGTCCACGACGACGCCCACGAAGCCGTCAGACCCCCAACGATCGCTCCGAAACGCCCCAAGAGGCCTCCAAGAGCACTCCCAAGAAGGACCCAAGAGGCAAACATATGTGATTTTCCATTGGTTTTTGGTGAATTTTGGAGTTATCCTCTTTTCGGCTTCCCGACGCTCCAAGGCGGCGGTCTTCTGGAAGACGCCTGGGAGGCTCCATAATCGCCCCACAACTATTCGAAAGGGCTTCCAGGCAGTCCGAGACAGCCCCAAAACGGCACAACAGGGGTCCAAGATGGCCCTAAGAGAGCCGCATGGCGGCCCAAGATGGCCCGAAGACACGCTCTGAAGCATTCCAAATTGTGACCCAGTCATTCAGGGAGACCGCGGTTGGAGGCAGGGTGGCCCGAGGAAGCCCCCAGAGGACCCCAGAACAAGCCCAGGAGGCTTCCAAAAGGCTTGCAGAAAGCCTGAAAACTTTTGTGAGGCCCCCATAGGCTCTCCAAGGAGGAGCCTCCGCAAAAAAAGAACTGAGGAGGATGGGGAGAATGCGCAGGGTATGTTATCATGAAGAAACAGTAGCATGGAGGTAGGATGCCGAAAAGCATTATGATAGCGACGATGGCTGGAAACAGCAACTAGGAGTTATCGCTAAATTGCTGGCTTGACCTTCCTGCCACCCCGCTTGCACGCCGAACTTTGAGGACCAAGGTGCATGGCGCGAAGCGCCAATGCAGTCTTGTGTATATAAATAAATGAATAAATGCACACACACACATATATATACATATACATATTTATGTATATGTTTATAACAATAGACGTCTATAAATATATCGGAGTAGGTCGGGGGGTGGGCGGGCCAGTGCCGTACCACCCCATGGGGGGATTGGGAGGGTCCCAGGGGTCCCGGGACTGCCCAGGCCCGACCCCAAACACGCCACGACACGCCAAGAGGGCCCGAAAGATTGCCAAGACAGCCACAGAGGCCCGGACACGCCGAAGATGGCCTCAGGACGGCCGACGACGCCGCCAAAACGCTCCAAG